ATGGGAGTTGTAGCACTGTTGTTGTCTCATTTGTATGCAACTTAAATGTTTGACAAATTCTACTTGGACAAGTGGAAAAATGCTTGTTAAATATTGATCCCACAACCTAGCATCGACAGCTCATAACAATCGCGAAAGTAAACCCAACTCTGTTAGTAATATTGGATCATGACTATATAAGAGTTTATATGGTGAAACACCAACATAACTCTGCACCCCTGTAACATATACATACCGAAAAGATGGCAAATAACCATCCTAATTTGAATACTGAGAGTTCACATACTTTGCGATCATTCCTTTGGATGTCTCAGCCATAAATGTATGACCATTATTGTAACGCACGTGATCATGGGATGAGATTTGGATATACTATCACCGTGGATCCTTGGAACCTTGGGGGATAAATGGGGATAAAATAGCCACTAAGGGCTCTCTCATTAAGCAATTGCCCCTTTTCCAGTTGGCTTAAGGGGAGAGAGATAAGGTAGAGACTGATAACGAGCCCAGCAATACCGACCTTTTGCCGTCGTGGTAGTAAAGAAAGAATATCCGAAAGGACAGGCCAACAGGTAACTTCCGGGCTGCATCATACAAACTATTTACTAAGGTCTAAGCCAACCAAAGTCAACTCTAACCCTTTCACTAGTTTGTACTGGCTTATGAAAATGGAATGGTTTTCGAGCAAAGTGACCGACAGATCAGCCATTGGAAAAGCCTAAGAAAATTTATGGAAAAATTTCCATCCTAGAGAAAGAATGACTCTTAGTCCAGGATTGCAAACTTTCAAGACTCAACTAACTTCTTCCTACTAACAACTTCACATAGGTTCACCTCAACACAAATTCTCATGACCCATAATATGCTTAAGCATTGAACATCTTTGCCTGTCTAACCGATATCTAACACCGACATCTGCAAAGTGCAAAATGAACATCCAAGGCTTGATCACGAAGACCACATCTTCGGATATCCACATTGCACTCACACTTTTGTTCAATCACTTTCAAGATCCAATGTGAAGCCAAAACACTAACAAGAAAAATGACATGGAAAATCAAGATCCAAGGAAATTCCTCATCACTTGAAATAACAATGCCACTTCCATTAACACAAGTGTTAGTGATGTCAATGCCCTAACTACACACCTTCTCCATCCAACAATCTACTCCAAATACTAACGGATAAGTCATAGCAAATGAATACTATAACCCTTTTTCCAACACCTTATGGGCAAACTTCTTAAGAACAA